AAATTTGTATACAAATCTAAAAAGAGTTTTTCAATTTTTTTATTGAGATAAAGTAATTAAAATTTCGATTTACAGCGATACGATTTATAGCAATACTACTACTAAAAAAAAATTGTTTACAATAATTATTTTCTCAAATTTTAAATTGGTATAGAATAATAAAATATTAATATTATCTAATATTTTATCTATAGATTTTCTTGTCTATTTCTTTATATTTAAAAGATTTTCTATATAAATATGTATATTTCTTTCATTATAGCCTCTTCAAATTTAAACTTTATAAATTGAAACTTAAATTAAATATTACAATTTTAAAAGAAAAGTGCAAAATATTTTTTTACAACTAGACGAAATATTGTTATTGAAATATGTTTCTCAGTATTAGGCAAATTTCACACTGTAGAACATATACATATATATAATACATTATCGTACTATCAGTTCGGATTAAGAGCATCAATTACCAAATCTACCATAATAAAATCATCGTTGGCGCTAGTCATTGAACAACTACTCCTTCTAGATCCGTTTTGGGATGCGCATTTCGAAGTTGTATTATCATTATTAAGTCTCTCGTTATTTCCATTGTTGCTATCAGTTGTAAGAGCTGCCATTGTAGTCTTCGAATTAGGTTCTACTAGTGATATTGGAGGAGGCGACGTTTGTTTGGGTGTTAATAGCGAACTGAATGGTACGTCTGGTATCACGAGATCTTCCTCATTGACAATAACAGGCTTGTTTATCACAAATGCACCAACTTTGATGGTGTCACTAAGTGACTTTGACGTTTCTTCGCTACATTTAAATTAAAATATTATTAAAATGTAAACATTTTTCATTAAATACATGTAAATATTTTACCCATGTTTACTGACCTTTGCTGATATCGTGCATGACGCGGACTTAAGTCTGAATGAAAATGATCGCTCTTAAGCATGATAGAATCTCGTCCCTTATGAGTGGGCGATATTGTCATTTTTGTTCTATAAGAAACTGATAGATGTATAGTACCTACTGGAGTACACAATTGACCTACTCTTACATGTTTATAGTTATCACCTGTTATAAAATGGACAATATTCAATGAGATCATGTTATACAGCAAATTAATATATTGTATATTACATTGAAAAATAAAAAAATTGATAAAATTGGTAAAAAATTGATTCTTAAAAAATAATTCACACACTGCATTTTTCATATATTTATAAATAAATTCTAAAATATATAAATAAAAAAAAAATAAAGAATAATTCTGTGAATTATTCATTGATAAACTAACCTAAATTATGTAGCTGAGGCTCTCCCATGTATATTCGATAGCACATGGTATAGGAGTCAGGTCCTTGACGTCTGCTCAATTTGTAAGCAGGCGTAACTCTCGATACAGAAAGCAAGGACTTCAATAAAATCCCCATTCTGTTATACACAGTATATGTTACTCGTATAGCCGGATCACTTTGCTCTGGCAAAACGCTGAGACTCCAAGTTTCTAAAACCATCTTATCACCCTCTACTGTTTTTAGAGAAATTTCTATGCATAGAGGTACAGCTGAGCTTACTATCTCTCCACATAGTGCCCTTTTAGCATCAGCTGACACTTCTGGTAGTTCTTTTATTGCCAGATTAAACTACAACATCAAATATGGAAATATTTATTTTATTTTTTTTTAAATCCTTCAAATAATAAATAGTAGAATTAAAAATGACTTTATGAATCATCCAATTTATTTGGTTTAATCCAATATTTTGCATCACAGAGTTTTTTATAAAAAATAATTCTTATAAGACATACTGAATAAAAAATACTTTTCAATAATGTTTAAAATATAATTACTATAATTTTAAATTATCTTGGCATTTAGCAAAATTGAACCTTTAAGGGATCATATATTTCTTAGACCTGAAAAGTAGTCAAAATGTGGTGAGAGGTTGTAAGAAAACTATAGAGTTGATTGATTTAATTGTTTTGTTTTAAAGGTGGACTCTTAAACATAAAACGTGTACATAAACTAAAAAATTAACAAAAACGTAGCTGCGTCCAGTAGCGTAGAATGTGTTTTTTGGATCGGATAAAACGGTAGGCATGATTCAGCTCGTAATATTTATCTGAAACAAACATTTTTTATTTTTTATCATTTTTTAGAAGCATAGTTCTCGTGTGACAAAAGGGATTAAGAAACAAAAACATTACGGAAATGATCACAATTTGAAGAAAAGTCATTTTCACAAAAAAATCGTCTATTTTTTATTGCTATTCGAAAATAGTTAAATTTATTTAAAAAAAAAAAAAAATCTTTGTGATGATAGCGAATCTTAATTTAGAATACGTATACCAAAAATGAAGTTAATCGAACGGTGAGGCAGTTGTTATTATGCCCACCGTTCTGACAAATGCTATTTCGAGAAAAACGCGTTTAAAGTTTTGCAAGTGCTTTTAAGTGGGATAAAATGAAAAACTTTTTACTTACGCTTAATCAGCGATGTCTGCATCATAAAGTTGCTCCTCTTCTACAGTATGATCCTCTTCTGCCTGCAATCTCATCTGTCTACGATGAATTCTCGCTTCCTGCACTCGAAACTTGCCCGTTGAAATATGCTGTGCGTCAGTCTCTTGACACATATGTGGCACTATATAGTATGCTGCATTGCCAATGGTGCAATTTAAAGTTTGGAAAATTGTTAACAGAAGCCTTCGTTAAATATTACTGCTGCAATATATATATAGCTCTATGATTTCAACAATCATAGAGTCTATATATCTATATATCTTTTTTGGAGCAATCTTCCATATGAGAGATTAGATTCTCATTCGATTTTTGAGTATAGTCGCCAATACATCTTGAAAGCAAATATTCTTCGCTAAAGTTCTTGTACACAGGTCGAATAGCATCTTCTACAATTTAGAAAGAGCTAGTTTATGTCTGTATTCATTCGAGTTGTTGGCAGCACATGCTCGCTGTCATAAACACCACGATTCTTCTTCAGGTGGGCAATAATGATGCTGTGGTTTCTCGTCCTTTGAAATTTTATGAAAGAATGTCGCCTATATATAACTTTTTTCATCTCTTCAGAATCAGTGTATGTCTTGATGGTTAGACCGATATACGAAGCTTCGTCAATCAGTTTGCCTGTAAGATTTCCTCCGAGACTTTTTTTTTTTTTATAAGGGTACAAAGATGCGTCCCCATCCTCTTTTATGTATGGTCTACATATTTTTTTTGTAACCGGAGTATCATACAGGTTTATTTTCAGAATACCCTGAAATCTTTTACCGTCATCGACGTAAGTATTTCACTCCGTGCAATTGAAGCGATCGCTGAAACATTTCCTGCATTCCATTGAATATTTCCTGTATTCCGTTTCCTTCATAATTTATAGGGTTGGCATTATTTTACCCACTCCCAAAAAAATTTCCTCTGTTTTTTGGGTTTTACCCACTTAAAAAAACCCGAAATTTATGAGTTTTTTGGGTTTTATTGAGATTTTGTATAAGAAAAATAAATTTTTTAATCAGTAACACAAAAGAAACGTATTTTTAAATATTTAATGAATATAGGTATATTAAACTGGACCGATACAATGTTAACATATTATACCAATTTTAATATATACAAGATATATAAAAAGTCCTAGACCTCTTAAATTTAAATATCTTGAAAAGTATACATTTTCAAGAAAAATGTTTCAGAAAAAGGGTTTAAAAAGTTCTACTAATCATGTCCGTCTGACCTTGGCGAAATTAAAAATTTTGTTAAACAAAAATTTGTTTAAGCGTTAACTTTCAGTATTAAATTATCCAAATAAGTGTTAATATAGTTTTTAATACGTAGTATCATTATTTTTTTTTTATCTTCACTATAGAAACCTCGATAATCTAAAAATTTAGAATCTCGCACGGAATGTTAGAGATCCGGGTACAACTCCTAGCCGAGATAATATTTTTCACAATAAATAGATTTATTTATTAATTTCTAGCATATTAAGAGCTTAATAGATGTCTATTGAGCATTAAAATTCAATTGTGATATTTATTTCGGTAGTTTAGCTGCGTTTTTAAGTCCGATAAAATTTCGGCGTGCAATTCAAATGACTACAAATATGATACATATATATCGTATAGTATATACAAATTCATATTGAATTATTTAAAAATTAAAAGATTCAGCTTCAACCATTATGGACATTTCTTATTTTCTATTTGTTGAGTTTTCATTATATACAAGTGTTTTTTTATATTTGAAAAATTTATAACTATTTTATCAAGATTTTTACAAAATTTATTTATAATTAATTTTATTTGAATATGTAATTAAATAATATACAAGACAAATACAACGTAAACTAAATATTACGTGAAAAAAATATCAAATAATCAATTTTATTTTAAAAAACCCCCAAAAAATCTCAAAAACCCAAAAAAGCCCCAATAAAATCCAATAAAATCTTACAGCACACTCATGCTCTTCAATCCAATTTGCATATTCCTCGATGTTGCTTTTTTTTCTTCAATATTCGCAGGCTTTACAGCAAGACAATTTTATAATAATGTCTATAACATTTTTTGTCAAATTTCCAATGAGTTACCACACCGAAAAAAGGTGGAAATCTATGCTTTTTCCAATCTATGCTTTCCCATCTGCTCCTTCAGTTCCTCCTTCATCCTCAAATGTATCTACTTCTTTTTTTTTCTGCAGTTGCAGCATTTTTCAGTGAAATATCATAAACAATTTCTGCAACAGTCATCAATTTGTTAACAGAAAGAAATACGCTGTGACTCACATTCATCACATTGTATTACAATTTTAAATCCAAGGCTTCAAATGTCAGCTTCTGTAAATTTTATGTTACCTCCGTACGTTTTGCATTTTACATATGCACTAATAGCTGTAAACATTGCAAAAAAAGTTTAAAATTTGATAGCTGAAAGTTGCATTTATTATACTATCACCTCAAAATCTTATCGCTCTTTTAACTTTTTTGCAGATGCATAGCTTCTTCGAATTCTATTTCTGTTTTCGTCAAAGGCTGTTTTTTTAATGGATCAGGAAAGTCATCTTGAATCATTTCTTGATTCTTTTTGGTTGATAAATATTCGTCCTGTCATATCTGTTTATAAGGCCTGATCAAATTCTCTGTCTCTTTTTCACTTTAAAACGAGCCAGAGAGAGTTTTAAATTTCGTTTAAAGTCAGAGTAACGTTGGTATAACCGGACCTCTTAGTCATTTATCTGAAATACTAAACACGCGATATACAAATAAACACGCGACTGAAATGTACTTTTCCACAGCTTTAAATCAGCTATGGATTCTAAATGGGCTCAGTAATATATTACAGACTCTTCATACAAATAATACAATAATTTTTCCTCTCGTCTTTTCTTTTATTCAGACGACAACACTACCGGTAATTGATTGGAAATCTGATCTGTGGAGCGACTAGTTTTGTTAAAGCAGCTGTAACTTCGTCAATAATTCGAATATCGAGTTCGCTTTGTTTTTAAAAGATTTCTAAGATATGTACCTTTTAAAATAATTTCAAAAATCGATTTTTTGAAGCTGAGAAATATATGATCCCTTAAGTATTTCTTACTAAAAAGATCTACCTGCAATTTTCTGATATTTCAATATAGAAATAATAAAACTGAAAAGAAAACTATTCTAAATATAAATTTTACTGTTACACTAAATAAACAAATAGAAATAAAAAAACATTGAATCGGTGCTGTTTGTTTTTCCATTTGCTTTATATACTCCATTTGTTTGTTATATATATTTATTAATAAAAATGAATTTAAATAAATATGTATACTTTAATGTATAATTAATCCTCCTATGGTAATGGAGATCAGATGTGACACATTCTACAGCTTCTATTTTACATGTGCTGTTTAATAAAGAAACAAGTTTTATGATATTGGGTACTTTCCAAGCCCAACTCTCTTAACCGAGACTGAGGTTCAACTTGTTTCTCTCATTTTCATCTATTGTTTCATCTCTTTTTAATTCTAGAATTGGAAAGAGATAATGAATAAGTTGAATCTCGATTAAGAGTTAATTGTGAGTTGTAAAACTAGATCTTAAGCTGAGTTATTTCCACTTTTTGATAAACTTCAGCTCACTGGATTACTCCCTTATCTCTTTACTCTTTTGTTTACTCAGTAGATAAATTATCACCTAGTTTATCCAAAGTATAGAACAACCGGTCCTTAGTAATACAAATCAACACAAGCATTATTCTATCTTTCCTGATATTCAGAGAATAAGAAAGATAAAACGACAATTGTGTAGACTTGTGTCACCAAATGGGAAAAGGTTCGTTCTGTTTCTCATGCATGGTGCGCATGATATATCATTTTATCCTTGTTGTTCATCAAATATTAAAGTAAAATAAAATAATATATTATGCACATCATGCATAAAACGGAACGTACCTAAAGCATACAATGTTTCTTCAGAAATAGTGCAAAGTTGTAAAGAAAAGTTAAAAAAAGTTAGTATTTGCTTACTGCATCCATTAATGTATACATGTGTATATATAACTTGAAAAAAAAAATATCTCAGCAGTTTTGATGAAACCAAATAAATTGGACTAAAGAAAACTTTACTTTTACCCAGTCGCCAGCTGATGAGTCCGGCTTGCACGTGGTGTTGACTTTCTGGCCCGATCTTGACTGCACTATGACTTGGGCAGCCCTCAACGCAAGATATTTGGTAAACTTCTCTAAATCCTTCTTGTCTTGCATGCTTAGCTGTGCTGACATTTTACGCCGCTGCAATTATAATCACGGCACTAGAGGTATTCCTCGAACACGTGAGAACGGAAGGTATGTATGTCGTAGCATCGTAACGGAATAGATGCATCGCATCCTCAAACACGTGTAACCGTGTCTCTCTCTCTTTCTCTTTTTCTCTCTCTCACACACACACACACACACACACACACGGTAAAGATCAAGATTACAAATGCTTACACGCCCCCGATGCGCGAACGACGCACTTTGAGCTCTTCACACGGACTTCGGAATTCGTAAGTAGATTTGAGCGCACGCACGATACGCTTTCTCGAAAAGTTCATGGATAAAATCGACAACATCGTCGCGCTGCGCACGATCACAATTCACACGGCAGATGACGTACTTTCGAAAATCGAATGTTGATTTACGTCATGAATTTCATCAGAACAAGTTGACAATTTGAAAAATTTGAATTCACTTACGAAAAAGAATCAAAATACATAAGAATACGCCAACGAGATTTTCTGTCTTTCTACCTTTACAATGAACTTTACAAAGTACAAATCGATTGAAAGAGTACTGTCGCTGCTGAGCGCATGGTATATAAGAATCTAAGATGTACATGCTCATGATGTAAGAAGACAAGGGTCCGTTCAGAACGTGCTTTATCTCTAAATATCTATAGTATGCGTGACGTAAATTATAGCATGTTAGCGCCTTAACGTTATCATTGTAATGCGTTCTGAATATGGGCCATGTAGAGTCCCTATAAGGCTAGAATCAGACTACGCATTGAAGATTGAGATTGAAAGATTGAAATTTGACAAATCAAAATAGTAGGAGCTAAAATTCTTTTGTCCCCATTGTCAAATTTCAATCTTCAATCTTCAATCTCAACCTTCAATGCGTAGTCTGATTCTAAAGAGTGAAATCACACGGTACGGGAATCAGCATGCGGGACAGAGGATGCGTGATTCGAACAGCCAATCAGCGCTCCTCCGCATTTTTCTATCCCGCGTGTCTTTCCCACGAGAACTTTTAATTGCTTTCAATCAAATCAATTGCTTTTTTTCATATTGGTTCCCTCATATGCACCCTTAGACGATCTTCTTTTATATTTCCTAATCATTTTTATCGTTTTCTAAAAGAATATAAAAGAATTCGTATTGCCCAATTTCATCACGAAAACTTAACTTGATCTAACTTATCCAGATAAATTTGAATAGTCTATACATAACCGTATGTATAAAGAGATTTATTTAATTACATTTTTATCATAAAGACACGTGTAAAATACGATTACATAATTTTTTATGCATATACGGTTCTGCAGTTACGCAAATTGTTCTAAACTCCTGTTAATATAACCCATGATGGCCTGATATGTAATATCCAATATAAAAGATAGTGAAAATAATATCGATGGAAATATAAATGAAGTAAACAATAAATGATTACCTGTATTGCAAAGAAAGTGTAGAAAGATGTTGAAGAATTACATTCGAAACTCATAATAACTATATCACACTTTATAGAAATAATATATAAGAAATTATGAGAGATAAAATAATCACTTTCGCACCATGTGATTCCTTAACGGCATGTATACGGGAAGATAACGGAAGTGGATTACTGCCATAGCATGGGTAACTAAATAACTATCATACCAATTGCACCAATCTAAACATTCTGGATTTCTCTAAACAGTTATAACGAAAGTGGATTACTGTCATAGTATGGGTAATTAAACAACTATCATACCAATTGCACCAACCTAAACATTCTGGATTTCTCTAAACAGTTAATGACTTATGGTGAGGCCGACTTAAGGACATAGAATTATTGATTAGTGCGATAACTTCCACCGTGCGTTGCCATATGTGCGCTGGAGCCATATGTCTTGCAATCATCTATATAATGATATATTTGTATAATATTAAGTGTAGTAAAAAGTCATCGCGTATTTTTTAGCTCAAAGTTGTATATACAATATCTTCGTCAATAATGAATGAAATTCAAATTTAAAAAAAGGGTTTTAAAGCTTGAAATCTCTACTTTTAAAAGCTTATCACATTTTTTAAGTTTATATGAGTTTGATAATTTTTACATACCAAAAACTACGAGCTGAAAAAGACGAAAAATTTTCTTCTCACTTTGTGGATTTGTAACGTGTCCAAAACGAATTTGAGAAAATTTTCGATTACATATCGTGAAAGCTTGATACTTTCCCTACAAAATCGTTTTTTTTAAATATTCCTACGACTTTTGATTACTGAGTTATCGCGGATTAAATAAAAGAATTATTTTGACTTTAATTGCTCATAACTCCATTAAAAATTGTCGTATCGTATAATTTAAAAAAGAGATTTTTAAAGCTGAAACTTTACTCTATCAAGATATATTTATATTATTGGTAAGAAAGTAATTGCGGTTTTTACTGATAGATGTCTTTTAAAAATACGCGATGACTTTTTACTACACCTAATATGTATACTATACTGTTGTTGCGAGATTCTCTAAACATTTTATCGACAATTATTGCTATCGTTAACTAGTGACAGCCAATGAGAGCCGCACTTTCTTCTAGTATTATCCTGCCATTGACTAATTAACGATAGCGTTACTTAACTGTTAATGGCGGAACTAATCACCAATCACTTCAGCATTATTTAGACTCTGTTATAGGGACTCTAAGCACACTCATATCACAATATATACAGTAGCGCAACTCTCCCGATTTTATGTTGGCTAAAATGGAATGCGCATACATGAAATAAGCAAGTTGCCCCGTCTCATTTCCTCCATTTTTTTATTGTTCTCTCTCTTTCTCTCTCTATTTAAATAAGCGTTTCAATATTCCACTTAAACATTTGTCTTTCAAGTATACATGGGTCAGAGTAGAAATTTAGAGGAAAGTATTAAGTGTATTGTTCATTTGATGAAATGTATGAGAAATCTTGAGAGATTGGTCTAATTTTTGTGAAAAAATGATAAAGTGAAAAAGTGAACAAAAAGTAACATAAAAAATCGAGCAAAAAGGATTTCTTTTTATTTATTGCATTTTAAATTTATTTTTTGGACATACATGTATATAAATTTTTTTTGTATATCTCTCAGCTCTTTTTCATAATATTTTCATAGATATATAATTACATAATATTTCTTTGTATAAATATATATTTTTAAGTTAATTTAATATTTTTCCTAATTTTTTCTATATTTTTTCTTTATTTTTCAATATATTTACAATTTATTTTTATTAATTTTCATAAAGTTTAAATTATTTCATCGCAATATTAGGTTTATTCGCGTCGCATGCTCTAATATGCTCCAATGTGTTCCTACAATAGCATTTACTTCAACAAATTTGTTGGATGCGAATAAATCTAGTGAATTTTGCGAGGAATTTTGACAGAGTGAAAAAAGGATGAAAAGAAAAAGAAATTTAGGTGGTAACCATAGCAACGTAGTTAGGTAACTTACTTATTTCACGCATGCGCACTCCATTTTGGCTAACACTAATATCAAAGGTGCCAACAGAGAGTTGTGCTACTTCATATATTGTGCTCATGTTTTATGTTATCTTTTCTAGTATGCTAACAATCCAGTAGGGAAACAAGCATTTGTGCCGCAAAGTATATTCGTTTTTGAAGAGTGATAAGAATTATTTTCATTTGTAGAGAAATTCGGAAATTTTGTTGATTGATAAGTGTAATAATACAAGATGGTACACTACTGTATAGTAAATGGTTGCCACAGCACTTCTGATAAATGTAATGGTGAACGTATAAGTTTCTTTCACTTGCCAAAAAATCAAATTATGCGTGAAACTTGGCTGCAAAGAATCGGAGAAAATCGCATGCGTCACAAAGAACAATTTGGTAAGTTCATTTTTAATCATATTTAATATATATTTAATCATAGCTGATGTAGGCTCTGATGGGCTTTTTTTACATCACTGATCAACTATCCTATGCTAGATAATACATTAACATAGATTCTCCATTAGAATGCATTTATCTACAATTTTACTATGATTATTATATTTATATATATTATTATATATATTATATTTTACTAACCTATATAATTTTTCTATATTTCTGAAACATATAAAGTTACATTTTATATGTTTAGCAAGAATATGTTCATTGCATTTTTCGGAAAATTCATTCATGGTACCAAAAAGGAAATCGAAAGTTGCAGAGGACAAGAGAAGACAACGCCTTTTACAAACTGCTGTACCAACTTTATTATTAACACAAACAGAAAACAAGTATAATTTTTGCAATTGTTTTGTTATTATTTTTTAATGTGATAAATAGTATCATGCATTTTTAACACATTTCAGGACAGATACTATGGTAAATATGGATTTTAAAATTATTCGTCGAGAATTTCTACTTGTCAGTAAATCAGGCACAAGCAGAGACAAGAATGAAGAAGTCAGCAGTGGAATTGACACAGTGAATAAATCTTATGGCAACGTTATGTCTGATAGCACAAACGAAACTGATGGCATTACGATAGCATCAACAATGTGTTCTAAAAGGTAAAATAAAAAATGATTTGTATTCTAACAATGCCCCTTCTGAAGAAATCATATTACAAAGTTATATATACATAATAAAATCATATAATTAAGACAAATAAATCATATAACAGATTGTTTCAAATCAGTAAATGATTTTTTAAAATCACACAATTTTAAAAGTTGTATGGTGATATGTTTTTTTCTTCCATTTTTATTATTTAATTCTTTAAAATTTGATAACTCTAAAATTACATGATGGATGGAATTATTTTTAATATTATGTAATTTTCCAAATTACGTAATATTAAAAAATCATATATTGATTTGAAACATTCTGTTACGTGATTTACTTGTTTTAATTACATGATTTTATTATGTAAACAAATATCTAAAATAAAGCTAGAAAAAATCTATCAGTGAAAAATGAAAAAAGTCCATCAGAGCGTACATCAGCTGTTCGGATGCACAGAAAATTCTTTATTTCGTGTGAATGTATAATAACAAAACGAATAAAATAAACGTTTTGACCCTTTAATTTGGGTTCTTATCAATATAAAATATAAATCGAAATTATATAAATAAATTCCAAGCAAATTCCAAGTTGATGATTCCCGACAATTTAGTTCGTTCTTCTTTATCCAAATGCCAAATTAGCTATGTAATGAATAGCCCAATAATTATCAAAAATATTAACTTATATAATAATATAATACAATAACAATAATAATATAAAAACTTACATAGGAAAAACTGACAAAGTAAAACTGAAGTCATATACATTGCGTCACTAAGTAGAATCACATTGCTCGGATTGCCAGATTTGCTGTGTCATTCAAAAGAAGCACAAAAACGAAAAATTAGAGAAATATTAAAATCATTTGTCTGAATTTTAATTATATCAACTTACATATAAGCGTTTTCTCGCGACTCGACAAAATAAAAATAAAAACAAAAGGGGATAAAACCAATGTCACAATTCCGTAAACAAATTCATATATAGTGGGTCTAAAGAATACGTATTATTCTGTAAATTCAAACTCTGAACACTACA